AGCTAATACTGATTTTAGTAGGTATGTTGTGAATTAATTAACTGTTCATAACCTCGGTTTTATGGATTTATAATGTTGGACTGTATCTTATTTTATACAATTTTTACGTTTTATTGTGTTCTTCTCTGTCTGTGGTTTGTAATGGCCTATGGCTAAATACAATAAAATCTTCTCTCTCTCTGTAGAATACTTCACCATTGTTTAAAAATCTTCAGAAAAATACAAATAAAGCTTCCTACTTTGTTTGGGCCTTGGTCTGGATAGCCCAGAGCTTGGAAGCTAAGCAGGGTTGGCCCTCGCTAGGCTAGTATAATGGATGGGAGACCTCCAAGGAATACCAGGATCATGATGCAGAGCCAAGTTGTGGCACACCACTTATGAATGTCTCTTGTCTTGAACACCCTAAAGGGTTGCTATACATCAGCTGTGACTTGATGGTAGTTTCCACTGCCACTTTATTTGGAAAATACATCCTGCCTCTCCAGAGAGATACCTGTTCTAGGTGGCTTACAAGGTAAAACAAATAATAAAGAGACATAAAACTATTAAAACCACCCATAAAATATGAAATCTTGTTATGCTTTCCCTGTCGTAGATGAGCATAGGAATGTGTTTCATCTTAGGGCTGACATTTATGCTGATGGACCAGCGGTTGTGGAAAATGAGGGAGGAACCTATTATATGTCCCGGACGTATATGTTTTTATATCCTGTGGGGAGAATGAGAAATCCCTTTGATATAAAAGCACCTGACTATTGGCAGCCATGTTCTGGTGGGCTTCTGCAGTCAGAACCCAGGTTGGTTAGGAGCTTCTATGCACCTGGGAGGGGGAGAATTGAAAAGGAGTTGTTCTTTCTTGGGGGTGCTACCTGGATTATCACCATGGACAATCTTGAACTCTTGGATGCTATCCTGACCTTGGTAACTATGAATCTTTAATGTGTAGTTAAGGCAAATTGTCCTAGCCTTTGTTATTTTTGTAATCTTTTATAGTCTGTTGCTGTGCTCTGTACTGAATAAAGGGCCTGCTTATTTCTAACTTGTCTGTGATGTTGTAACTTGGATTCCAAGTCCACTAGTTAAAAGAGGTTCTAGTGTCTAACACTCACCCCATATGCTACCTTGGTAAGAGTAAAGCGTGCATCTCTGAGCTAGAGTTGCTACTGTGTTAAATCCCAGATGCTAACTAAGGACTGGAATCTCTCCCTTAGGAAATGCAGGGACTAGTTAAAAGAGGTTCTGGTGGTACATTGTTCTGAAACCAGAGAGGGTATAGACCATCTCGTGGTTTGTTGTTTAATGTACTGAAAAAGTACAGGGTTCCCTCCCATCCCTGGAATGGCCTGAGGGGCAGCAACTGGAGGTCCCCCCCCCCAAGGTCTTGAGAGTGAGTTGCGGAGCCTTGACAGATCCCTACGCAGAAGAGGGGTTTCCCTTGGCAAAATGGACCTTCCCCCAGCTTCTGAGGAGGACTAGGTTTCACTTGCTGGCTTGTGGGCTGGTTGTGCAGGCCAGGAGTGAAGGCAGCCTAGCAGACACGGGTGGGAAATGTTACCTTCCTGACCTGGGTATCCATCAGGACAGGGGCCTATTTTGTATTGAGAGAAGGCTAATTGGTGGACAGAGTAAATCTGTATAGCTTCCAGTGTTGTAGCTGAACTCTACTTCTGGGACCAAAACAGTTTTATAGCATAGATTCAGGTGGGTAGCCGTGTTGGTCTGAAGCAGCCGAACAAAGTTTGAGTCCAGGGGCACCTTTAAGACCCACAAAGTTTAATTCTGGGTATAAGCTTTTGCGTGTATGCACACTTCTTCAGATACACATGAAAGCTTATACCCAGAATTAAATTTTGTGGGTCTTAAAGGTGCCACTGGACTCAAACTTTAGTCTTACGGCATGTAAATACTACATAATAGATTAAGGTGTCACTATTATTTCACGATACAGGTGTTGTCTCACAGCACCTTAAAGATTAAGGGATTTATGGTTGTATAAATTTGGGGAGTTGGAGTTAGAGTTGCCACCTCTGGGCTGGTAAATACCTGGAGGATTTTGGGCGTGGAGCCTGGAAAGGGTGAGGCAGGAAGCAGGTAGAGAAGGAAACAATTCTATATAGAATATTTATTAAGAAATGCTAAATTTTACATTTACAAATAGCAGCAGAGTACAAGTTGAAATTATAGTGAGAAACCTTTACAAAAAAAGTTACTCAATAGTGCAATTGTTTAGTCAAACGAACAACAACGCTGTAAGTTCTAGTTCAGTCAGATTTATTCCTTTTCAGAAGAAAAAAAATTAAAAATTTGTAACCTTAGCTTGATAGGTATTTTCAGGGCACTGCTGTTGTAGAAAGCATCACACCTAAGAATAACTATGTTTCCTCTTTTACCATTGCTGGTTGATTCGACACCTTCAATTGCACATTGGAGGTAATATTATAAATTACACCTTTCTTATGTGCAAGCTGATATCTTATCAAATAGCCAAGTATAAAACCACCTGAACTGTAAACAGAGATTTTTATTTTCACGAACATGTTTTCTATTTCACGTTACTATAGTTGGACCACTTCAGGATGAGGTTTAAAGTCGAGGAGCAAACTGACAGTTTATTTTAACGGTAAAATCGGTTAAGCTAAAATATTACTTTCTCCTTATACATTATTTCTGACTGTACTGCTATTAATGTTACTGCTTGTTTTCCAGTTGGCAACAGAATTGTCACTATACGTTCTTCCTGAAGACCTTTCTGGAGGCTCTTTTCTTGGTAGACGGTTCTGCTCAGAGGTCCCATCTTATTTAACGGGGGTTACTCCAAGGAACCTGTCCTTAGGATTGCAGGCGAAGTATACTTTTCATGAGATTCCTCTCTAAATTTGTAACACGTAGCAATTGGCCAGGCAACAGGCCTTATGTATGATTACATACCCAATTTTCCCAAACACAAACAACACAAGAATGAAATGTGATATATGATGGCTTCACAAACCTAAAAGTGCAATTCTATCTTAAAATATGACGGGAAAGCAAAGCATTACAATATAAAAAGCAGGAGAGCAGGTATGGGAGATAACTTTTACGTGTTATTTTTTACTCTTAAGGTTCACGCTCCATCTCCAGAGTGCAATTGCCTCTTGCTTCTGATTCTACACCGCAGCAGGCGAAGCAATGCCAACAGCTGGACTCGGTGCCCGTCCTGTGGCCTGCGGGAGCGGCAGCCCTGGCTACTCCTGACAATGAGGAAGGAAACAAAAAGGGTTTTCCTGAGAATTGTGAGCAGAGACAATAAATGACCCTGTGGGGTCAGCGTGTGCTGAGCCTCAGAATCGGGGATGCTAGAGGCGTAGATGAACCTTAAGATGCCTTTATGTTCTTCGCCATAAGGCAATTTTTGGTGGGAAACATATAGGGTAGGAGTCTTCAACATGGTGCCCACGGACACTCATTAAGTATTTTTAGAAGGTGGATAAGGCCTGGTGGGGCTTTTGCCCAGCAAGGCTTCTGATTTGACTGTTACAGATTTGATTGGCTGTGCAGATTTCTAAAAATGCTGCTTTGGAGATAGCTGAAGCCACAGCACAAAAATCTTCATTGTGTGAGGCCTGGTGGGGCGCAAGATTTGATTGGCGGCTGGTTCCGCCTCCTGTGGCAGCCATTTTGTGGCTGGCTCCGCCTCCCATGGCAGCCATTTTGTGGCCATGCCCACCAACCTGTGTCAGAACTCCAAGGGTGCCCACGGGCTCAAAAAGGTTGGGGACCAATGGTAGAGGGTCTGTAAAAGCTGGGCTAACCTTATTTTCATGATGTGTGCATGAATATTCCAATAAGTTTCAGCACAGTTTTATCAAATTCCACAGTCTTGGGAAAGGATGGCTAAAGGGCCCAATCTTAAATATTAATTTGCTTCCTTACTTCTTCTGTACTTTGCCTTTATTTATTTTATTTATTAAATTTATATCCCGCCCTCCCCCGTAGGGCTCAGGGCGGCTTACATAGCAAGAAATCTTGCAATAATAAAAACATCAAGTACAATTTAGTAGCATTTAAAACATATTATGCAATTTAAAACCGTCTCCCCAACGGGGACCTGAAGTAGCTTACATCGTTCTTCTCTCCTCTGTTTTTATCCTCACAACAACCCTATGAGGTAGGTTAGGCTGAGGGTGCCTGACTGGCCCAAGGCCACCCAGGCAAGCTTCCATGGCAGAGTGGGGATCCAAAGCTGGATCTCTCAGATCCCAATTCAACAGTCTAACCACCACATCATCCTGGCTCATATCCTGAACATCCTCACATATAGTAGCAAACTTAGATCCTGCTTTTGCCAGTGACTTGTTTCATGCTTTCTGCATGATCGTTGCTTTTTTCTTCTTCTTCCTTCTTACCTAGCAGACCTTTCCGTGGCAGTTGCCGCAGGCAGACTGAAATTTCCGCCTCCCAATCCCTGGGATTCTAGCCAGGAACTCCCTAGTTTGGGTCTTCACAATCTGTGCTTCTTCTGACATTCCCTTTCCCCTGTCCCTGCCTTTTTGCCTCATACTAGCCTTCCTTGGACTCTCTATGTGGCTATGAGGAAAGGTAGAGAATGGGGGGGGGGAACATGCCCATTAGGGTTGCGAACTCTGGGCTGGGAAACACCTGGAGATTTAGGGGGTGACGCCTGAGGAGAGCAGGGTTTGAGGCAGGGGGAACCTCACAGGTATATAGTGCCATAGTTTTTGCCCTTGGAAGCTTGCCGTTCCCTCCAGGGGAACTGGTCTCATAAGACGGCAGCCCTACCTATTGTAACCCTAGGGTTCATAGTGCCTTTTTAATGCTGTTAATTAAGCTGCTACTCATCCTGTTAAGTAAATTCTTGAACTGCATGGCTACCATAGGTAATTTGGCTAAGCAAAACAAATTGTTTAATTTTCTGCAACCTTTTTTCCCTTTAAAAGAACATTTCAGTTACCCTTGTTGGGTCAGCAGAAATTGTATCTGCAAGGTATCACAGTGTGGTTTAGTAAAAATTAAGGGCACTTCTATATACCCTGTTTTGTGGGTGACGTGTGCCCTGAATCAGAGTGCAGGTTACCCACAATTCACGCATTAAGCAAGGCACGGAACTGCTCAGCAATAAGAAGTACCTGTTTTTTGTCCTATCTCTGCACTACTGATGCCGTGAGCAACACTTGTACGCATTCTAACGCACTACACAGTTTGTCGTGAAAATGCACACCCCATTATTTTATGAGGCTGAGAACCGAATACATTTTCAGAGAAAGTAGCTTGGACTCCATTCTGACCACTGCCAGCTATAGGTGGAGACTCTAAAGGTTCATGCTTGATTGCTGGAATAAAGCTGGGACTCTTAAACTCACAGTGTGTCTTCAGGACCTGGGTATTTTGCTCTGTCTCGTCTATAAAACTGGTATTATAAAACGTATCACAGCAATATGTTCCTTGTGTACCCTCCGTAGTATCTACACAGATGGGGTTCCGCGGACCCAGTGGCGTTGTCTCCTTGTAATGCACCCCTTTGCCAGATCCGTTTCTACTGATGTTGTTGGTGTGATGCATCACAAGGCGTTGCCAATTATATGGTGAGTAAACCCAGCGCTTTGGACTTTGGCACAGAGGCGGCTGTTTGTTGAATTCCAGTTCTGCTTTCAGATGGACCCTAGAAGGGAAATGACTTGAGTGCTTCTTTGCTACACTCTTTTCATCCATCCAGACTTGACTTGGGGAAACGGCATAACTATTAGCTACATTTTCAGAATCTGAATCATATTCAGTTTTGATCAGTGTGTTCTGAGGGCTGTACAGTGCTTCTGGAGATATTAGCGGGCACTGCAGTTTCGTGCCTTCTGCCGAATGGCCGTCTGCTGTGTATTGCTGCGAGTGCGCGTGAGGCTGGTAATTCTGTATGCCTCCCCAGTGTGACGAACAGGCGGCAGATAAACCGCAGACCTGCTGGTCTCTGCTGTAGAATGGCCTCACAGTTTTGTTTGGGCACATATTTTCGTTGTGCTGCCCTCTAGTGCAGGAACTTGATGGATTCCTTGAAGTCCATGTGCCATTTGGGTTGTTACTGTGTTGAACACCAAAGAGTGGCCCATTAGAACTGACAAATTCTTGCGGACTAAAATATTCACCGTCGTCATCTGCGTGAGGCTCAAACTTGACTTTTATGCAGTCCTGCTCTTTTTTCATTGTAGTCCATTTGTGGTGCTTCATCGGATCAAGTGCATCCCTGTTCCCTTTCAGGCTCGTCATGCTGTTGGGTATCTTCTGATGGTCGTCTCCTTCCCTTTCAACAAAAGTGTAAAACAAATCAGCCAAGAAGAAAACATTTTCTAAAGGAGATTTTTTTAAACTACAGGTTAAGAAGAGGAAGGAGAAAAACAAGAATTCAAGAACACCCTTGCCACTTCTTTAAAAAATAATTTACTGGTATTTACGTTCAGGTATGGATTACACAGTGTCAATTCAGTCATCGCAACACGTGTGTTTGATTCTATGTAGTGCACATCCTATTTCACAACTACAAAATAAAGTATTTAAAGATGACTGAATGAAGAATATTCCTGTGGTTTATTCTGGGAATCTGGTGCTCTGAAGGATACGACCTCTTCATATGAGAGTTTAATTTATGCCATTAATTTGTCCAGTCCTGGTTTTTTAAAGTCACTACTGCATTTTACAGTAGTGAATCTCGCAAGTTACCTGTTCTGTAAAGATCCATCCTGAACATGATGCCGATCAGTTTCACTGGGTGATCCTGAGACTGGGGGCTGAGAGATCAATTTCCTTCTTTATCCACCGTGCAATCCTAAGACCACTGTCCTGAGAGTAAGCCCTATTGAGTGGAGTGCTATAGGGTTCTGAGTAGACTTACACCGTTAGTTGCCTTTTCTCCAAACTAAAAAGCCTCAGATGTTTTAGTCTTTCTTCATAAGGAAGTTGCCTGGATTCCTTGATCAAATCGTGTCACTTTCCTGCTTATCCCTCTCTCCGTCTCTCCCTCCCTCCCTTTTTTGATGGGCCAACAACAGCCATGCAAAGCATTCTGAACACACCATGAGATTTAGAATGCCATTTTGCTTTTCAATTTCAATTTATTATGGGTCCATATGACCGAAGTCTTGACCAACAAAGAATACAAAAGGGGTAAAATAGGTACATAAAATTGACATAAAATATGACAAGTACAAAAAAATATGGAACGCTTCACGAATTTGCATGTCATCCTTGCGCAGGGGCCATGCTAATCTTCTCTGTATCGTTCCAATTTTAGTATATGTGCTGCCGAAGCGAGCTTTTCATATTCAACTTTTCTAATAAGTTCATATTTGGAATCTGCCATTTTCACTGCCACACCACACCACATTGAATCTCCCATGATCTTTTTATTATCTCCCCAAGATCTCTTACTTGGGAAACCAAAGATCATGTAGATCTCATCAGCAAGACGGAAATCCTTCTAAGAGCTTCCCTGCAAAAACGTAGGATGCCTTGAGTGCAAGGCCCAATACAGTGACAATAGGGGGAGCTAGAACTGCAGAAAGGAAATGGCCTACATTACTTTTAATTTATTTCTATCCCACTTTTCAAAAACTTGCTCAAAGTGGCTATCAGAAGCAGCAGCGCACAAAACAATATAAAAATCCACAGAAGTTCACATTACCTATCAACAACAAAAGCATCAAAAAGAGTTAAGTCATAACATTAACATAAGCAGGGTGAGAAGAGTTTACCAGAATAAAAAGTGTTTTAAAAAGGTAAAGGTTCCCTTGCTCGAAAGCCAGTCGAGTCCGACTCTAGGGTTGCGGTGCTCATCTCCGTTTCAAAGCCGAAAAGCCAGCGCTGTCCGAAGACATTTCCGTGGTCATGTGGACAGCATGACTAAACACCAAGGTGCATGGAACGCTGTTACCTTCCCACTGAAGTGGTACCTATTTATCTACTTGCAATTTCTTGCTTTCGAACTGCTAGGTTGGCAGGAGTTTTACCAGTGTTTTAGGTAAAGGTAAAGGTTCCCTTGCTCGAAAGCCAGTCGAATCCGACTCTAGGGTTGCGGTGCTCATCTCCGTTTCAAAGCCGAAGAGCCAGCGCTGTCTGAAGACGTTTCCGTGGTCATGTGGCCGGCATGACTAAACACCAAGGCGCACAGAACGCTGTTACCTTCCCACCGAAGTGGTACCTATTTATCTACTTGCAATTTCTTGCTTTCGAACTGCTAGGTTGGCAGGAGCTGGAACTAGAGATGGGAGCTCACTCCATCATGCGGCACCCAGGTCTCGAACTGCTGAACTACTGACCTTCCACAGCCTGCAGTTCAGCGTCTTAACCACTTGAGCCACCGCAGCCCAACCAGTGTTTTACCAGGGGCCTTAATGCCAACATAGAACCAGGTGACCTTCATGGGGCGGACTGTTTTACAGATACGCCCTACACCAGGTGTACTTAGAAATATGTCCCAATTTTATTCAAGTGTTTCTGAAGCCTTGTTTTTAACGGGCCAGCCTAGTGTCTGATTGTGGTGTAGGACTATGTAGATTAGAAGAAGAAGAGATTGGATTTATACCCTGCCCTTCACTACCCAAAGGAGTCTCAGAGCGGCTTACAAACTCCTTTTCCCTTCCCCTCCCCACAACAGACACCCTGTAAGGTAGGTGGGGCTGAGAGAGCTCTGACAGAAACTGCTCTTTTTCAAGGACAGCTGTGCCAGAGCTTGTGACTGACCCAAGGTCACATCAGCAGGTGCGAGTGGAGGAGTGGGGAATCAAACCCGGTTCTCCCAGATTAGAGTCCGCGCACTTAACCACGACACCAAACTGGCCATATTAAGATTCCTTTTTAAAGCTTCACTGTTTCGAAGGCTTTTAAGCATACTCACTTGGGGGCCTGCTGTAGGGCAGTGGCATAGTCGGAAGAACCGTCCCGATAACAAACTTGTGCATTCGCTTGTATCCAAACCCAGTGATCTTCATTTGCTGGCCATTTCATCATTTCTTTATTATTCTTTCCTAAAAAGTTTGAGAGAAATGAAGGCTGGTGGGAAATATTTTACCCAACTGTGTTATAGTTTGACTCAGGTGGGTAGCCATGTTGATCTGAAGCAAGAGAACAAGATTTGAGTCCAGTGGGGCACCTTGAAGACCAACAAAGTTTAATTCTGGGCATAAGCTTTCTTGTGCATGCACACTTCCTCAAATCTAAATCATGCTTTCTGCTGGGGGAAATACTTTCACCAGGGGTAAAGAGGGTGATTTTTGCTGACTACCCCTCCCACTACAGACCGCATGATGGAGGGACTTACCCATCTCCCTCTTTCCCCACGGGCACAATTTCAAGGGCATGGCAGGCTGCCGTAGGAGAGAGAGAAATGGGAAAGTTTGCTTCTCCGAATGCCCCTCTCCGAACGCTGCTTTCCTTGCACTGGATAGGTTGCACCCTTGATTCATTTAAATGTAGCCAATTCACACATTATAAAGTCCTCGTGGTTGCCGGACCGGTTTCCATGAGTCACGGTGTGGGAGTTCCCAGCTAGGAACCGAGTCCCCAGGCACATGTGGTCCAGTTCAGATCTGGATGGTGGTGCTTGGGGAGAAGGGGCTCCAGCTTTCCTCCTTTGCCATTTTCTTGACTTGAAATGACCCTGAGGAGTTGCCATCAGCACATCTGACGTTTTCCCAGTGTGGCATATAAGTAGCTCTCTAGGGTCACTGCAGATCAGGAAAGTGGTATGGGGTGACTGAACTCCCTTCTCCTTACATGCTGATTAAAATTGGGCCCATGTGACCTGGGCATTGGTCCCAGTGGGGAAATCCAGGTGCATATGTGGGACTCACAAAGGACTTTTTTGCATTCTCATTTTCCTTGCTTGTAAGTTCCTGTTTCTTCCGGTGGGAGGGTTCTTTTCCACACATGTTTTGCTCCCTCTGGTGGTTGATTCAATATCACATCTGTTTATGTCTGGCATAAAAACCTGCAGTTTAAAGCTGCAGGGAGATATGCCAAACATACACCAATGTAACATCAAATCAACCACTAGAGGGGGCAAAACATGTGAGGAACAGAACACCCCCCCCCCAAGAAACAGGAACTTAAAAGCAACTAAAATGAAAATGTAAAAAAGCCCAAGGATTATGTAACATATGAATAATTGCTTAATGGTCTGCTGAATACTACAGAAGAGAGGGGGGGGAAAGGTTTCTAATCTTCCAAGAAATCACCACTGTGAAAGTATGTTGCTTTGTCTTTAAACACAACAGCTTTTCAGTTCCATTGTTTTTCAAGACTTTTATCTATTCTTCTGAACTAGCATCTTAACATAAAATCCAAGCCAATTAAATGAGTAAGACAGTCTCGCGTCAAAGTGGAGGTTCAATATAATACACACACCGCCATATACACAACTTGCAGGAGCCGCTATCCCATTTCCCCCACCTTTGCTTCTCCTCCTCTCTCCCTACTTCTCTTTCACCACCTGTTCACTTATTCCCTCTCTTCTCTATGCCTGTCACTTCCTCTCTTTCAGCTCCCCACCCCATCACTCTCCCAGCTGTCCAACTGATCCCCCCCCCGAGCAGCAGAAGTGATGGTGGCTCTCCAGGAATCACAATGGATCTCTCAACTACAGAGATCAGTTCCCCTTAGGGTTGCCAGCTCCAGATTGGGAAATTCCTGGAGATTTGGGGGTGGAGCCTTGGGACGGTGAGGTTTGGGGAGGGGAATGACCTCAGCAGGGTATAATGCCACAGGCTCTACCCCTCAAAAGCAGCCATTTTCTCCAAGGTAATTCCACGTGATCTCCAGCCCCCACCTGGAGGTTGGCAAAGCTAGTTCCCCTGGAGGAAATGGCTACTTTGGAGGGTGGAGTCTATGACATTATATCTGTCTGTGGTCCTGGTCCTACTCCTTCTCAAACCCTACCTTCCCCATGCTCTACCCCTCAAATATCCAGGAATTTTCCAACCTGGAGTTGGCAATCCTACCTCCTTCCCTCTCAACAGCCAACCTATCTTTATCTGCCCCCCTCTGTCTTCAGCTTTCCATCTCCTCCCCCCCTCTGCAGCCTCTCCTAGGAAAACTACAGCCTTGCTCCTCCTGTTTATCTGTACAACAACCCTACGAGGTGAAGTAGACTGAAAGTACGTGACTGGTCCAGAATCACCCAGTCAGCTTCCACAGCAAGATGGGGATCTGGACGTGGGTCTCAACATACCCTACTCTGAAGCTCTAACTGCTACACCACACTGACTTTCATAGGGTTGCTGCTTTTGAACAGAAGCAAGCAGCCAGGCCTAGGTGAGTCATGCAAGTCAGACAGTACCAAGTGACCCAGAGGGTGCTGCCTGGCACAGAGCTGCCAGCCTCCAGGTGGGACCTGGAAATCCCCCAGAATTACAACTGAACTCCAGACAACAGAGATCTGTCCCTCCAGAGAAAATGGCTGCTTTGGAGGCTGGGATCTGTGGCATTATATCATACTGAGTAGGGCTGCCAAGTGGGGGCGGGTGGCGGGTAAACCCCCGCTTTGGAGGCCCGATTTCCGCCACGGCGGAATTGGGCCCCAAGAGGAACCCCGCCCCCCGAAGCACAGCGTGGCTGCGTCACCGGGGGGTGACGCAACCACGTAGAGCACATTGGGGGCATGGCCCCATTTGGTTTTCCCTCTGCCAATCGGGGCCACGCCCCCAACGTGCTCTATGTCGTGCGTCACTTCCTGTGATGTGCAGGTGGCGCGCACACACACACACATCCCACAGTGACTCCTGGAGCCCAGGGACAGTCCCCCGCCAGTGAATATAAACGACTTGGCAACCCTAATACTGAGCCCTATCCCCTCCCCAAGCCCTGCACTCCTCAGATTTCACCACAAAATCTCCAATTTTTTAGATTCACATTTCTCTGCAAATCTGGGGCCCTTTTCAGGTTTGGAGAAAGATCGGTCTTGTCCATTCACAGTTCCAGTTACTGGATTTAAGTCAGCCAGATTTAGAATAGTCCCAAACACCTCTTTCTACCGAACTATGCTTAAAAAATCCACTGAAGCAAAAAACAAACACAGATTTTTTTTAAAAAAAACTACACAGGTGAAAAATCCATACCTTCTAGAAAATTGTTTCTTCCATGGAAATCAGCAACATGCTGTCCTGAAATAGCCTTTGAGCTGCAAAAGTGAGATGATAGAAAGCAGCTTAATAAATTACTGTGTGTATTGGTGTAAAGTGCAGATTACTTCTTCTTTTTTTTATGACCCCACAAGGGGCTTTCAAGGCAAGCGAGAAGCAGAGGTGGTTTGCCATGGCCTTCCTCTATAGAGCCTTCCTTGGTGGCTGCCCATCCAATTACTGACCCTGCTTAGCTTCCAAGACCTGGCACAGATCAGGCTATACTGTGCTCCTCTCCCTCCCAATAAATTACTGTACAGTTAAGAATATGTTCCAAAATGTTGGGAAAAAAACAATGACTGGTGTACAAAGAAGACCCTGAAGGTGGCAGCATGAAGAAAATTAGCTGGATAGTGAGGTCAGCATCTTCTCTCTTCTGTTTAGCATCTTTCCCTGTCTGTCTCTGGATTGCTACACTTAGGGCAGTTTGGTGTAGTGGTTAAGTGTGCGGACTCTAATCTGGGAGAACCGGGTTTGATTCCCCACTCCTCCACTTGCACCTGCTGATGTGACCTTGAGTCAGTCACAAGCTCTGGCACAGCTGTCCTTGAAAAAGAGCAGTTTGTGTCAGAGCTCTCTCAGCCCCACACACCTCACAGGGTGTCTGTTGTGGGGGAGGGGATGGGAAAGGAGTTTGTAAGCTGCTCTGTGACTCCAAGTGAAGGGCGGGGTATAAATCCAATCTCTTCTTCTTCTCAGAAGTGCCACATTCAGTCTCTCTCCCTCTCTCACCTAGAGATATGGTTAGGACAGGGGTGTCAAACATGCAGCTTGTATCCAGCCTGCGAGCAACTGACTCTCATCTGCTTCCTTTTCCTTCTCTCCTGCTTCCTTCTGCCTCACAGCTTGCTTTGTAAGGCTCTCTAAATCGCACAGGAGCTACAGAGCAAAGTCTCTCTTCCCTCCATTGGCTGAGACTCCTCCCCCTCCTCCTCCCTTGGGGGGGGGGAGAGAACTTGTTTTGCCAGGCTCTCTCAATCAAAGAGAGCTGCTGAGCCAAGCCTTTCCCCCCTCCTTTGGTTGAGGCTCCTACCCCCTCTCATCCTCTGGGGAGAGAGGAAAAGAACAAGAGCTTCCTTTCCCCAGTTCCCTCAATCCCACAGGAGAGATACAAAGTACCTTTAAGACCAACAAAGTTTTATTCAAGGTATGAGCTTTTTGCCTTGCTGTGGCTCTCCTGGGTGTAACTGGGTTCCCCTCCTCTTTTTCACTGTATTCATGTCCTTCTCAGTAGGAAAGAAATGTGAACTATTTAGAGGAGGAATAACAACAAGCCAGTGAAGTGGATTAGGCTAAGAGTGTGTGTCCAGACCAAGTTCACCCAGCACCTTTGTAGGCTGGGGATTTTAAACTTAGACTTCCCAGATAGTAGGTTGATACTGACCACTATACATTTCAGTCTCTCTATGCTTTCACTGCCTCATAGGAGTTGCAGTTATTTCTCTGGAGAAGACTATAGTTTTGTAGACAAACACATAGCCCTTCTTCTGTGTCATGGTGCCTTCACATATTCTTGACCAGTACATAAAGCAACATATACAAAAGCTTGCAATGCCTGGCCGTTTAATATTTTCCCTTGGGTCTTAGGTGCAGAGCATTGACCATGAGATTTCTGTAATGAATGTCAATAAATCAACAGTCGGTTTGCGACTTACAGATACACACCTGAACAACATCTGAACAGCGCACTCAAGATTGCTACAGCATATTGTCTCCAGATTTTGATGCAATAATTCAGAGCAAAAGGTGTCAGTTATCAGATACTGTTAAATAAACAAAATATTGGAAGACTGCAAATGTTTTGAGCATATTTTATTTCAAGGGTTTTTTTTAAAAAAAAAATCTTTAATTGTGTTTGTGTCCTTTATAAAGTTTATATCACCTCTACCTGGTATTACATTTACACATGGCCTGGCCTGACAAGGTCTCTTTTATGTCAGACCCAGCCATAATAACAAATTAATTTGACATCCCTGAGTTAGGAGGACGCTATCTCTTGGGAATTTCAGACAGGCGATATCTCCCGGTAGGGAACTGATTCTCAACCGGGTTCTGGTCTGTCATTTCAGACAGAACCCGGTTTAGAATTGGTTCCCTACCGGGATCTGACTGCCATTTCACACACAAAAGTCTCTGTTCTGTATAGGAACTGGGACTGAAGTGTTTTAACTGTAAACCGCTTCAGAGTAGTCTGCCGTTCCCTCCCCCGGTTCCGCTATGGTTCTTTCCCACCTTTTTTCGCCCGCGTGGGTTTTTTTTTTTTGAACGTTCGGCTTATATTGATATATCGATATACCGGAACCTCTAAGGAGTCGCATTCCAATGGGATCGTTATTGCGACCATTAGAGGTTCTGGTATAGCGATATATCGATATAAGCCGAACCTTTTTTTAAAAAAAAAATCGCTCACCCGCGTGGGAAGAAAACGGCGGGAAACCAAAGCGGTGCGTGTGTGAAACGCCAAACCGCTTCTTATCCGGTTCCTTTCCGGTAGGGGCAAGCCGTGTGTGAAACTGCAGCCCTGTTCCGGTTCAACTGAAAACGGAAGACTCCCGGCTTGAAACCGAGAGAAACTAGGTAATGTGAAATTCCCCAGGGTCTCTCCTATTTACTATCTAGTATGTTAATTCCTAAATAAACCTTTATCTAGTCTTTAATCAGGTTGTGCACTCTTGCTGTGTAATTACTCTGCCAACAGGAAGTGTCCCAACCAGTTACAAAAGCAAACGAACAAACAGATCCTTTATTGCCAGTGTGGATCCTATTTACAAAACGCTTAGCATGCTAAAGAGCATGTTTCTAGTTCTATACTATAATACGTCCTAAGGCCCTAGAGTTGGAAGAGGCCTGATAGCCATCTAGTCCAATCCCCTGCTGAATGTGGGAAGTCTAAAGCTAGAGCTTTCCTAATAGATGGATATCCACTACATTTGCTTGAAGACCTCCAGTGACGGAGAGCCCCTACTCCCAAGTAATTGGCTCCATTGCTCAACTGCTCTTAGGAAGTTTCTCCTAATGCTCAACCAAGATCTCCCCTCCTGTAATTTAAGCTCGTTAGACCTGTTCTTGCCCTCCGGAGCAGCGGAGAGAAAGTCTTTTTCCTGTTCCATGTGAGAGATGTTAAAGAATGTGAGGACCATGTGTAGGGGTGCAAAGTGGAGGCGGGGTGCGGGTAACCCCCCGCTTTGGAGGCCCGATTTACGCCGCCGCGGAATCGGGCCCCAGGGGGAACTCCGCCCCCCGAAGCGCAACGTGGCTGCGTCACCAGAGGTGACGCAACCAGGTTGATCATGTTGGGGGCGTGGCCCGGATCGTTGGAGGGAAAACTCTATGGTTTTCCCTTCGACGATCCGGGCCACACCCCCAACGTGGTTGACGTTGCGCGTCACTTCTGGTGATGTGCTGGCGGGGCGCTGGTGAGTTTTTTAGACTTGGCAACCCTAACCATGTGTGTTGGGATCTCTCTTCATCACTGACAAAGCAAAAGAACTTAATTGTGATCAGATTAGTAGTCTAGTCAATATATACTTTGTGTTTACGGCAGGTTGCAGCTGTGGAATTATTTTCATTTGTTATCCTCTGCCCTTCTCAGATTGAAGGCAGCTAACAAAATGCCAACATAGCAGTGATATGCAGGGGTCGTTTCGTAGAAAAAGAGCTAGGGGAACTCATTAGCATAACTCATTAGCATATGCCACACCCCCTGACATCACTGGACGTGTGTCATAAGGCCACACCCCCTGACATCACCGGACGTGTGTCATAAGGCCACACACCCCGCCCCCAACCGCCACCGCTGGCCTTGCAGCTCCACTGCCGAGTCCCATGAGGGGCCCGGCGGTGGACCTGCAAGGCCGGCGGGAGTGCAAGGAAGCCCCGCAAAGGCCCTCCCTGGCCCCAGGCAGGCAGGGGTGGGGAGAGGCAGGGAGGAAGCAACTTACCCTCCCTCTTCTCCTGCCTCCTCCTGGCTGAATGAGGTCCGGAGGTGAGACGGCCGGAAGCAGGGGGCGGGGCTTCGTCATGTGCCCACCCGTACCTCACCCAGGGGAACTGCGATCCCCCGCGATCCCCCCGAAATGACCTCTGGTGATATGTAATAAAACTATACAATGTAAAGGTAAAGGTTTCCCTTTCTCAAAAGCTAGTTGAATCCGACTCTAGGGATGCGGTGCTCATCTCCGTTTCCAAGCCAACGAGTCATGTGGCCGGCATGACTAGATGCCAAGGTGAACGGAACACTGTACAATGCAGACCACCCAAAATCATCACAGACACAGCCAGCTAGCGATGGAACGGTTCTTATTAGCAGTCCCAGAATGCTCCACAGCAGTGTCAGCAAAAAAAAAAAAAAAAAGTCCTCTGAAAAGAAGACTCACCAGGCCGTTTACCTCTGTATGCAAAGAAGCAAGTTCGATACAACTGAAATAGCCACACAGAGGAAATTTAAGAATTTCTGAAAACGCAACACATTCTCAAAATGCACACTCTCAATGCACTGAACTGGAGGGGGAAGTAAATCTCATCACTCGAGTTGAGCTCACTGAGGATATTTCAGCAGACGTACCCTTGTCCTCACCTGGATGGCCCGGACTAGCCTGATCAAATCGAGATCTCGGAAGTTAAGCAATGTGCTTAGATGGGAGGCTATCAAGGAAGACTGGGGTTGCTTCGCAGAGGCAGGAAATGGCAAGCCAACCTCTGAACGTCTCTTGCCTTGAAAATCTATAGGGTCACCCTGAGTTGGCTGTGACCTGATGGCCCCTTTCTCCACCACCACACGTAAAAGTTTAGTTTTTCTAAATAACCCAATCCCCAGCAAAGTATTTTTTTAAAAAACACAAATGCATTTATTCTCACTTTGTATATGTTGTGGCAGCGTTATCAGGCCTGCATTTTGCTTTCATGAGAAGGCTTTTTAACTTCATGTCAGTCGCAGAAGGCAGCAGAACAGGTACAGCTATGCAGAATAAGGATAGTTGAGGAGGTAATACCTCTCCAGAGGGAGATTTCTTTCTTTGCCCAAAGAGAAATTTTAGTTTACCTTGAAACTGCATGGTCTGGGGGGGGGGAAAGCAACATACAAAAGAAATTAGTTCCTGTAGATTTTCCGGATTGTGTGGCCGTGGTCTTGGCATTGTAGGACCTGACGTTTCGCCAGTAACTGTGACTGGCATCCTCAGAGGTATTACAACAGAAAGATGGAGTACGCTCTGTGTCAAGGTGAGAAGAAAAATGGCAGGCAGGTAATTTATATCTACTCCGGAAGGTGGGGTAGGGCTGAGTCATTATCTTGTTGGAGTTCCCCAGGCTATGAACATGCTAATGGAGAAACTTTCCTGAGGAGGTTCTTTTGTATATGGATTGTTTCCTGGAAACAGGAAACCTCCTCAGCAAACAATCCATATACAAAAGAACCTCCTCAGGAAAGCTCCTCCATTAGCATGCTTTCATATAGTAAAATTACATAATCATCATCAAATATTATTAATGTTGAGAAACTATTTCACCCTGTATGTAAATCCAGTGAGACAGACACATGTGGGTGAGTCATACGAACACGAGCTGCAGTTTTTCTACATAGAAATATAGAAGATAGTTTCCTGTGACCAGGGTTGCCAGCCTCCAGGCGGCACCTGGAGATCTCCCACTATTACAATTGATCTCCAGATGACCAAGATCAGTTCCGCTGGAGGAAACGGCTGCTTTGGAGGGTAGACTCTCTCTAAGGCATTGTACCCTGCTGAGGTTCCCCTCCTCAAACTCCCCCCTTGCCCAGGTCCACTCCCAGAACCTCCAGGTATTTCCTAACCTGGGGCTGGCAACCCTATGTGAAACAATGCTTAAATAATATTACTGTCACAGGCCCAAATCACACTTTATGGGATACTCATGTTCCCATTCATGCAATGGTGTTTGCAGTAGTAAACAGTGAAAACTATTTTGTTTTGGGGGACAGAACTGCATATATGAGGCTTTCCCCCAACTGGTCTCGAAAACAAACATGTCCCATCTGGCAACTGGCGGGCGATAGGAGGACTTACCAGGAGAAAACGAAAGATGCCGTGTCTCTGGCGTCACACAAGAAGTGACATCATCATACCAGTGGCTTCCAGGAGGCACGCTGGTATTTGGACAAAAGTCTATGGTTAAACTGGCTTCTGCCATAGAGTTTTTGCCCAGATACCAGAATGTCACCTGGAAGTTGCTGGTGTAATGACGTCACTTCCGCTGCAACACCTGCCTTCTTTCTACTGGTAAGTCCCTCCACTGCCAGCTGATAGGTGGCTGGGGGGGGCAGAGCCTGGCAGTGGGGAATCCCCGCCTCCACTGGGGCTCTGGTAACCCTACAAACATGGGAAGAAAATAGGCACACATAAATAGGACTGTATACGCACTCCTGCTGATTCATTCTTCTTTGCAAATGCCCCCTTAACATTTGCAATAATGCGTAGTCCCATCTTAAATATAGATATTGTACTGTAACGCTTTATTGCTTATCATATTGCTGCTTTCCCAGAAGGTAAGAAAAATAGGTTAGGAAAAAAGATTAGGAAAATAAAGAAATCATTTCAAAACAAATTACTGAAATCTAACAAGCTCTCTATCTATCTCATGAACAACCATCCCATTTCCACATTTCACACAGATTTCTGCTTTGAAATGCACTACCCACAGAACATGGTTTACTTACAAGGAAGCCAGAAGTAGTATCTAAAAGGCAGCGGATTCGGCAAGTAAAACACCGAGTCAAAAAAGGCGAAAATTCTGTTGGCATCGTGTCATTCTCCTGGGCTTTAAACGTTTTATTAAGGATGAGTTCTTCTCCTAAGAACAGTAGAAAGTAAATTTCAGATTAAAAAGCAAACTTAGATATTTTTTTAAACTAGGCATTGGAACAGGGGAAAGGTAAGCAGGCTCAGGATCACCTGTTGATAGGAGAGGAAGGCAAGAATTGGGAGGTGGGGGAAATAGTGTGATGATATGGGGAGAGAAACAGCAGGAAGTGCTAGATTGTGGTGGGGGGGAGAAACCTGTACTATGTCAGGGAAAAGGGGGAACTGGCAAGAAAAAACAGGTTGCTTACCTGTAACTGGTGATCTTCGAGTGGTCATCTGTGCATTCACACCCATGGGATCCAGTGCGCCTGCTCCGGATTATCAGTATTGCAGCAAGCTCTAACGGATTTTCACGCCCAGACCTCAGGCATGTGCAGAACCCCCACCACGCATGCCCAGAGGGGAGGGGGCAGACATCCCGCCAGTTCCTTCAGACCGCCGCAAATCAACCCCTATGAAGAACGTAGAAGCTGACAGCAGCGGGGAAGGAGGGCGGGTGGTGTGAATGCACAGATGACCACTTGAAGATCACCAGTTACAGGTTTATCTTCGATGTGGTCTCTGTGCTTCACACCCATGGGAGATTAGTGAGCAGTGGCCTACCTGGAGGAGGGTGCTGGCAGGTCCTTACTGCGAAGCCGAAGATAAGATGTGACGTCCCATGTTGGTACGAGAGTTCTTGCGGACATCAAGGACGTAGTGCCTTATAAACGTATTAGGCGTAGCCCACGTAGTGGCTCTGCAAATGTCCATTAGGGGAACTCCCTGGAGGAAAGCAGTTGAGGCTGCAACAGCTCGAGTTGAATGAGCCCTGATAGGGCCAGGCAATGGCTGCTTAGCAATAAGGTAGCAGAGGCGGATGAGGCCTACAATCCACCGTGACAAACACTGAGCCGTGATACTAGTTCCCAGTCTTGCTGGAGCACAGGAGACAAACAATTGACAGTCACGTCTCGTTGGACGAGTTCTCTTTAGGTAGAAGAGCAGTGCACGTTTTGTATCCAACGTGTGTAACAGCTTCTCCTCTGGGGATGCCGGAGTGGGGAAAAAATCCGGGAGGAAGACCTCTGCCTGTAGGTGAAACTCTGACACTACCTTTGGCACGAATGAGATGGATGCCATCTGGCAAGAAAGACAAGTAAGGAGGATCATGTCTGAAAGCCAGTATTTCCCCAACTCACCTCACCGAAGTGACAGCCACTAGGAAAGCTGTTTTCCAGGACAGGAATTTCAAGTCGCAGGTTGTGAGCGGCTCAAAGGGCTTCCTGGTGAGTTGCCACAGCACCAGGGGAAGGTCCCAGGGGACCACAGGACTTTTGATGGGAGGATAAAGATGCAACAGCCCCTTCAAAAAACGTTTAGACAGAGGATGCGAAAAAAGTGTGCATCCCTCAACTTGAACATTGTGGGCTGAAAGTGCAGCCAAATAAACTTTCAACGAGGAATGTGATAGTCCCGAGTCAGCAAGAGACAGAAAGAAGTCAAAAACCCTCTAGAGAACCGCGGAGGCGGCTCAAGGGGCATCCTCACCCAAGCAGGAACAAAACATTCGCCACTTGTACCGATAAGATTTTCGTGTAGTGGGCTTTCTAGAGTTCAGCAACACATTCACTATGTGGGAGGAAAAACTGTGGATACCACTCTCCAGGCTGTCAACTTCAGTCGCGGAACATCGTGGTATAGGAGAGGGGACTCGGATAGGAGCAAGAGGTCCTGCACCAGCGGGAATTGGTGGTAGATCCCTGATGACAGATCCAGGATGGTTGAGAACCATGGCTGCCTCGGCCACCACGGGGATATGAGTATACAGTCCGCTCTGTCGCTGATGATTTTGCGCACCACTCTTGGAAGCAGAGGGAGTGGGGAGAAGAGGAAGAGGAGGTCTCTGGACCACGGGTAGAGGAGACTGTCCCCCAAAGACTGCGGTCCCTGCCTCCTCAGCTGCAGAAAAGAGGACACTTCTTGTTCGCCCTGGTGGTGAAAACATCTATCTGAGGGAACCCCCACTTGTGGAAGAGTGGGAGAAAGTAACTTGGATTCATTTCCCACTCGTGCAAACGAAGTCCTGCCCGACTTAAGTAGTCTGCCTGCACATTCATGTGCCCCGGGATGTGCGTGACGACTAGGAAAATGTTGTGGGCGATGCAGAAGTCCCGCAACCGAATGGCCAGTTTGCAGAGGCGTTGAGAGACAGTGCCCCCTTGCTTATGTAGCTGAGGGCAGTAGTATTGTCCGTGAGGACTGTGACGCACCTCCCCCAGATCAGGGGCAGGAAACTGGAGATGGCAAACTGTATCTCAAGCAGTTCCAGAAAATTGATGTGACACTTTCGTCTTTGTGTGTCCCATCTGCCTCCGACACAAAATCCCATCATGTGAGCGCCCCAACCGGAGAGAGAGGCATCTGTTGTCAGAGTGACCTCCAGTGATGGAGGATGGAAGGGTGCTCCCTGGAAAAGGTTGGGAGGGGTAGTCCACCAAAGTAGAGAGTCCCGTACTTTGACAGGTGGGGATAGGTGGGTCGAGTGTGTGTCTAGCTCTGGATTGAAATTGCGTATAAACCAAAGTTGTAGGTGGCGCATTCTCAACTTGGCAAAAACCAGGACTGATGTAATGGCGGCCATCAGACCGAGGAGCCCCTGTATTTGGAGGGCCGTCACCGAGGGCCGAGTACGCATTACAGTGGCTAGGTTCACAAAGTCTTCTGCCCTGTTTTGTGGTAGGAAGGCTCTGCAACTTGTGGAGTCCAGTAGTGCACCGATGTAGTGTATTTTCTGGACCAGTTGAAGTTGAGACTTCTCCAGATTTACTTGCAGACCCAGGTTTCCCAGGAGGGTTAGCGTCTCGTTGATGTTTGAGACTAGGGTGTCCCTGGAAGTTGCAACCAAGAGCCAATCGTCGATGTATGGGTAGATGGAAATACCTTTGAGATGAAGGAAGACCACTATCGTCTTTGGGAACACTCTCGGTGCACTTGAGAGACCGAATGGCAGAGAGGCATATTGGTAGTGATGTGGGCCAATTGCAAAGTGTAAGTATTGGCGGTGGGATGGGTGGATGGTGAGGTGGAAGTACGCGTCCTGGAGGTCGAGAGTGGCCATCCAGACGTTCCCGTGGAGAAGTGGCAGAATCTGCTGCAAGGATACCATGCGGAAGTGACCGTAGCGGACGAAACAATTGAGCGCCCATAGATCTAAGATTGGTCGAACACCTCCATCCCATTTTGGAATGGTGAAATAGTGGGAATAGAATCCCCTGCTGTGTTGGTGAAGTGGCACCGGTTCGATGGCTCCCTTGCACAGAAGGATGGACACTTCTTCCAGAAGAGCTGGAGAAGGGGGTGTAATGATGAAGACTGGAGTGGTGGGGTTCTGTATAAACTCTATACGGTAACCATGGGTCAAGATGGACAGCACCTATTCGTCCGTGGTGATGAGGCACCAAGTTGGGAGGAAAGGGGCTAGGCGGGTGGGATGTGACTGGGAAACATGGAAGTCAAAAACCCTGTTTGGTCCCAACCCAAATCTAGGTTTCTGAAATGCAGGCTTTTGGCCTCCAGAGGATGTACGTGGCCTCCACTGCCGCTGCCGCTCAGGAGACTGACGGTTTGGGGTACGTTTTTGCCAGGGACCAAGGACGAAGCCGGTATTGTTGTCTCGTGGAGGAAGAGATGCCCAGAGCACGAGAGGCTTTTATGCTCTTATCCATATCTTGTAATATGGTGTCTGTGGTACTGTTGAAAAGACCAAGGCCATCGAAGGGGAGGTCCTCCACGTATGTTCTGGTATCCGGCTGCAAATTAGTGTTGCGTAGCCAGGAATGTCTCCAGAGAGCGATAGCTGAAGCCATTGTTGTTGAGCAGGTGTCTAGGGCATGTTTAGCAGTATTAATTTGCTGTTTTGCCAGCACCATGCCCTCCTTTTGGATGATGCGGGCTGAATGACGCTTATCATCTGGAAGGGTTGCTAGGAGTTCAGAAAGGCTTTCCCATATCTACTCATACATGCTAAGTAGTTCGTGGTCTTCACCCCGAGTGCTCCCATAGAGTAGAAACGTCGGCCAAATGCATCTAGCTTTCTGCTCTCCCTGTCTGATGGGGCAGAATGGGTTCTCTTCGACTTGGAAGAGGAAGTGACCACCACTGAATTTGGCTGAGGGTGGGCGAATGAATTCCGCTCTCGTTTTCTGGACTCTGTACATGTGGTCCATGTGGCGTGTGGACACTGGAGCCGATATGGTTTATCCCATGGTGCTTTAGCTGTCTGTAACAGGACTGTGGACATGGTTAGTGCTATGGCTGTTGATGTATCTAGCTGTATCACATCGAAACAGCATCTGTAACAAGTGGTTGAGGTTGTATGACAGAAAGGCCAAGGGAGTGGGCCATTCTTTTGATGAGGTCTCCATAAGAAGTTAGGTTCTCTGATGGAGAAATAGGTTGGTCATCAGCCACTGCCTGTTTAGGAGATGGCTGGTCAGGCGAGCGGTGTACATCTGAAAGCCCCATATCCAATTCCTCAGCTGTGGAGTAAGAGGAGTCGGGCTCTGGTAATGGTAGAGGAGTGACTTTGGTTTGACTGGTTGGGTCAGGGTTTGATGGTGGAATAGGAGGGCTAGGAGGACAATATTGATCTGGTCGATGTCAAGGAGGGTCATCTGATGGATGATCAGGAGGACGGGAAAGAGACGCTAAGGGCGTCGGCCTCGATCTGCGGGGTGACCGTGATCTATGAGAAGAGTAACAATCCCAATCCGAGTAACCTGCTGGAGTCAGCCACGGCATGGACGCGGGTGGGTAAGCTCCATATAGGTAACGTAGTTGGCAGTGATCCCAGGAAAGAGCAGGAGATGGTAGGGGTAGGAAGACTCGTGGGGATCCACTCCAAGAGTGGGAACGTCTGGGAGACAGTGTAGTATCTCGTCTCCGTGAGCGGCCCCTATCAGTCCGATCATCGACATCGAAAAGGCGACCCTCGGAAAACAGACGGGGAGGATGACGTTGGATGATAGAATGGATCAGTCAATGTTGACCCTCATCGATATCGGTGCAGATGTCCGAGAGTGGCGATGCCAATGACTGAGCAGAGGGAGAACGATCCGTGCCCAGGGGACGGCTGAGGATTTCCACATTCTCGATGTCGGAGAAAGGACGCATGTCCGCCAGCGTTTCATGGTCTAGCTGGTGTATTGGAGAGTCGAACAGCTGGATGGTCAGTATCGGTGGAGCGACTGGAGCCTCCAATGCCGATACATTCATAGGAACGGGGGGCACCATAGCGGCATTACCCAGTGCAGAATACGTGACCTTTCCAGACTTCGCCACCTTTGGGAGCTTAGAGGAGCCCTTCTTGGTGGACTTATGATCTTTACCCGATTTTTCCTTCTTCTTTTTTATGGGTGTGGACGCCGAAGACTGCGCAGTCGGTGCCAGACACTTCGATGTTAACTGTACGATGTCGGATGAGGACTTCGACGCCGGAGCCATCGATGTCGATGGTCTTGCCGGTACTTCTGGGTCCATGAGGGAAACGGGGTTTAGCGCTGATTCCAATAACGCTACTCTGAGACACGCCGCTCGATTCTTCTTAGTTTGGTTGGAAAACCTGGCACAATGGCGGCAGGACTCTGGTCGGTGCGTCTCACCAAGACAAAAAATATAAAGGGTGTGGCTGTCAGGCGGAGCGAGCTTACTCTCGCACCCCTTTCAAAGTTTGAAAAAGCCCCACCTTTTCTCCATAAAACAAACAAGATGGAGAAGAAAAAGAGGTGGAGGGGGGGTCGAAGACCAGACTGAGGTAAGACAAAACCTCCCCCTCACACTTAAATAAAAGTTTTTTGGGATTTTTTAAAGGAAAAAACAAAGAAGCGAAGAAAAGGAGGAAAAAACTAAGAAGAAATCTGAAGAGAAATCCGAACAGCCTCTGAGGAAAATAGCTACCAATCTCACCGATCGAGGAAAGGTGTTTCCAGTGCGGCAGAAAGAAAGGAACTGGTGGGATGTCCACGTCCTCCCCTCTGGGCATGCGTGGTGGGGCTTCCTGCGCATGCCTGAGGTCTGGGCGCGAAAATCCGTTAGAGCTTGCTACAATACCGATCAATCTGGCGCAGGCGCACTGGATCCCATGGGTGTGAAGCACAGAGACCACGTCGAAGATGGTGAGATGGCATTTAAGCTGGTAGGAGTTGAAAACGCCATCAAGGTGCAGCCAACTGATGGCGACCCTGTAGGGTTTTCAAGGCAAGAGGCCAACAGGGGTGGTTTGCCATTGCCTGCCTCTGCGTCGTGACCCTGCACTTCCTTGGTGGTCTCCAGTGTTCTCTTTAAGCTGAGTTAGTGTGCGCTAGCTCACAATTTTTTAGCCTCCGGCTCACAGAGTTTTGTCTTAGCTCAGGAAGGATGGCTCCAGAGCAAAATAATTTATGCAGTAGTCAAATCGCTCGCTCACAACTTTAATGCCAGCAGCTCACAAAGTAGAATTTTTGCTCACAAGACTCCACAGCTTAGAGGGAGCATTGGTGGTCTCCTATCCAAATGCTGATCAGGCCTGACCTTGCTTAGCTTCCAAGATCTGATGAGATCAAGCTAGCTTGGGCCAGCAAGGTCTGAGCTAGTGGTAATAAGCTGAGAGTGGTGTAAACAGGATAAAGAAAGAATCTCCCTCTTTTTGTCCCCTCCCTCCCACTCCACTCTAATTTCTTGTGAGTTTGCAGAATGTTAGCCCAACCCACCTGCCTCCGTCTGCGCATTGTGTCCAGACAGCAGTTGTGGCGGATTCATGGCCCAGTGCAGTTGTCTACAGAAATCTTGCCGGTCGTCCACGTGAATGTAATCATATATATTTTGATGCATTACATCAGTCTGAAACAGTGACAACATTTATATGGCACTTACATTTTTAAAGTATAGTCCACAGAAATGCTGGGCTTCTTGGAAGGACAATATCTTTCCAGTAACGATACACTAGCTAATGACAATATTGGCAAAAAGGGAATATGAGGAACATATACCAAAAAACATAAAGACCAACAATAAAACTTTCTTCAAATACATTAGAAGCAGGAAACCAGCCAGGGAGGCAATGGGGGCCCTTGGATGACCAAGGGGTAAAAGGAGTACTGAAGGATGATAGGGAAATGGCTGAGAAGATGAATGCATTTTTTGCCTCTGTCTTCACTGTGGAAGATGAGAAGTGCTTGCCCATTCCAGAACCACTGATTTCGGGAGGAGTGTTGAAAGACCTGAGTCAGATTGAGGTGACTAGAGAGGAGGTCCTACGACTGATAGACAACTTAAAAACTAATAAATCACCAGGCGCGGATGGCATACATCCGAGAGTTCTGAAAGAACTCAAATGTGAACTTGTGGATATCCTGACAAAAATATGTAATCTTTCATTAAAATCTGCCTCCATTCCTGAGGACCGGAAGGTAGCTAATGTCACTCCCATCTTTAAAAAGGGTTCCAGAGGAGATCCAGGAAATTACAGGCCACTCAGTCTGACTTCAATACCAGGTAAGTTGGTGGAAACTGTTATTAAGGAAAGAATTAGTAGGCACATAGATGAACAAAATCTATTGAGGCAGACTCAGCATGGGTTCTGTAAGGGAAGATCTTGTCTCACTAACCTGTTAGTATTCTTTGAGGGAGAGAACAAACATGTGGACAAGGGGGACCCAATAGATGTTGTTTACCTTGACTTCTAGAAAGCTTTTGATAAAGTTCCTCATCAAAGGCTCCCAAGTAAGCTCAATAGTCACAGGATAAAAGGATAAGTCCTTTTGTGGATCAAAAACTGGCTAATTAATAGGAAACAGAGAGTCAGTATAAATGGGCAATTTTCTC